AATAAATAAATAAATAAATAAATAAATATCTTTTTAAAAATAAAAAAAGAAGTATCTTAGACATTCTTGGTCTTTTTATCTTCCACATAAAATCAACTTGAGCGATTCCATGCAAAAAACCTTTTGGGGCTAAGATCACCATTGCATTAAATCTATAGCTCAACAACAGGTGTCAAGGGCTATGTAGAGAGATAATTACAGTAGTAAGTGTTCCTAAAAAGGACTATCTATATCTCTCCATTTACCTGCCACTCCTTTAATGCTATTCAGTAAAGTTTTATAATTTTATACATACAAGTCTGGCTTATATTCAGTAGATTTATTCCTAGAAACCACATGGTTTATTGATAATGTAAATGGCATCCTTTTCTGAAAATTATGGGGGTTTAATTGTTTGTTACTGGTATATTAAATTGATGAAACTGATGAAGGTTAAGCTATTCGGTTTGAAGAAAGAGTGGTATGGTGGACCCGGAGCCCTGCCTGCTTGACCTCTCTTCATGATCAAAGCCCCCTCTCTTCACCAAAACTGACCCTCTTTGGAACCAGAGGGCTCTGCCATACATAGTTCAAAAACTTCTGATCTAGAAGAATAAACAGTTAAGAATATTCAATAAGGGGCACCTGAGTGGCTCAGTCAGTTAAGCATCTGCCTTGGGCTCAGGTCATGATGTTAGGGTCCTGGATTGAGCCCCATATCAGGCTCGTCAGACCTCCCCACTCAGTGGGGAATCTGCTTCTCCCTCTTTCTCCGCCCCTCCCCTGCTCGTACTCTCTCTTTTTCTCTCTCTCAAATAAATAAATAAAATCTTTTTTTAAAAAAGAATATTCAATAAATTTTTAAAAGAATAGCGACACCTGGGTGGCTTAGTTGGTTAAGCATCTGGTCTGCCTTCAGCTCAGGTCATGATCTCAGGGTCCTGGAATTGAGCCCCACATCTGGCTCTCCGCTCAACAATGAGTCTGCTTCTCCCTCTCCCTCTGTGGTCTCTCTTACCATCACTCTCTCTCAAATAAATAAATAAAATCTTTTTTTAAAAGTAAAGATTTTATTTATTTATTTGACAGAGAGTATAAGCAGGGAGAGCAGCAGGCAGAGGGAGAGGGAGAAGCAGGCTCCCCACTGAGCAAGGAGCCCCAACTCGACGAGGCTGGATCCCAGGACCCTGGGATCATGATCCGAGCCAAAAGCAGACACTCAACCAACTGAGCCACCCAGGCACCCCAAAAATTTTTTTGTAAAGAATAATATTGTGAACTATGGGACACTGAAAAATTATACAGCCATTAAAAATTTTTTAAGTATGTAATGTTGAGAAGCCAGACTATAGAACGAAATAAAAAGTCAAAATAAAATCTTAGGCTACACAACTATTAAGTATGCATGAGTGTGGCATTTCTAATCATTAAAGAAAGCCTTTTTAAAATACGTAGTGCTTTCAATAAGTCATTAGTTACTTTGGAAATTTGACTGCATTATGAAACTAATAGTGCATTAGTTAAAACTCAATGTTGGCCTGCTAGCTTGTGAATTCTGGAGAACATAAACTGGCTTTTTTCATCTTTGTGTCCACGTGTGCCCTACATATATAGTTGGTGCTCCATAAAAACTAGTTGAATTATTGTTGAATTTATTTCTTGGGATCAGGGCCACATAACATGGATTGGATTTAAAAGTTACTATTATGCAAAAACTTTGTAGGGAATGGATTGGATGATACATAACTATCTCTTAGAAGCTTTAAGACTTTAATGAACTTAAGTGATCCAGACTTGAGTAGTAACTATGAGAATAACTTGCTACCAGTTATGGAGACTGTCTTCATAAGGTTCATTCATTCATTCAAGGACTAAGTGAACCCATAATAGAACACAAACAAGAATTGATCATATATCTTCATCATATCCAGCCACATACGAGCCTGCACTTGGGGAAACCCTATTTGCAATACAGAACTGAAAGCTGTCCCTGAAATCTAGAATTGTCAGCAAACATATATAATTCCATACAGAAAAAATGACCAATGATAGAAAACATTTATTCCAAAAATGTATCCTAATTACTACAAGTACTCAATGTATGACAAGCCTCAGGAAACATGATTGGTAAAAAATTATCTATGGAAACAAATGTGGTTGTGACAGTTGGATATCAGGGTAGGAGAAACTGACTTCAATCCGTATTTTACCCTTTATATAACAATTGCCAGATGCATCAGAGTTAAGCAAGAAGTAAGGGTGGGATGAATAGGAGGAGCACAGATTTTTAGGACAGTGAAACTATTCTGTATGGTACTGTACATATATTTGTTATATATTTGTCAAAACCCATAGAATGAACAACACCAAGAGTGAATCATGATGTAAACTGTGGACTCTGGGTGATAATGATGTGTCAAATAAAATTTTATTTTGTTGGATTTTGGAGAGAAAAATGGAAGTGATGGTTCAATTATGAACAAAAGGAACTGTAGTTTCTTTTATTAAAGACTTAAAAAAATATATTTAAGGACATAATGATGTACCATATTCATTCATTTATTAAATCATCTGCCCTCAATTGGACTACTGCAATACTCTCCTGACTGGGTCTCCCTCCATTCTTGATCCATTAAAACCATTTTCCTTGGGGCGCCTGCATGGCTCAGTCCTTAAGCGTCTGCCTTCAGCTCAGGTCATGATCCCAGGGTCCTGGGATCGAGCCCTGCATCGGGCTCCCTGCTCGGTGGGAAGCCTGCTCCCTCTCCCACTCCCCCTGCTTGTGTTCCCTCTCTCGCTGTGTCTCTCTCTGTCAAATAAATAAATAAAATCTTTAAAAAAAAAAAAACAAAAACATTTTCCTCAAGGCAGCCATAGTGATTCGTCAAAAATACAAAGTGATGTTACTTGCCTACTTCAAATTACTCCTTTGATTTTTCCATTTGATTATTTAATTCTCTCTTCTTGCCTACAAATAAAGTCCAAATTCCCTTTGCATGGTATATAAGACCCAACTAGCTCTTCCCTCTCTTACAGCTTAGTCTTTTTCAAATTTTATGTTCTAGCAATTTGCAACTGCTTCATGTTCTTTCAAGTTCATGCCATACTGTTCATGATTCTGTGACATTGCTCAAGCTTTTCCCTTTCCCTGGCACATGCTCCCCACCTTTATCTATCTTATTCATATTCATCCTTCGAGACAGCTCAAATGTCATCCTCCAAACTGAGTTAGAGGCCCCTTCTTGGGTTTCTGTAGCATCCTATGCATACTTCTATCTCATCAGCTACCAAATCGTATTGAAATTATCTGTTTATAAGTCTGTCCTCTCCATTGAACCATGAGTTTTTTTAGGGCGGAAGTCATGGTTAGTCATCTTGTGTACCAGCCAGCATCTAGTTCAGTGCCTGGAATACAGCAGGCACTTAATAAATACAATGAGTACTTAATAAATCATCTTCCAGGTACTGCAACAGGTACTAGTGAACTTCATATATTCAATTTCTGCCACCCAGGAGCTCACAGCCCACCATACAAAAGAGGACATGAGAAATGGCAGGCATGAAAGCACTGTGAATAGTCAGATGAGTCACACTGGGTGAGAGTCATCTGTCTTTTTAGCCAAATTGAAATTGCTTACCATCAACCGTGCTCATCCATGAGAATGAAGGACCATGGAATTTTCTTCTGTTAAAATCACTTCTGAGAAGTATATTATTTAAAGACAAGTAGGCAGAAGGACGAGATAAGAGATCCTAGTGATCTACAAACTAATCCATCCCCCCCCCTTTTTTTTAAGATTTTATTTATTTATTTGAGAGAGAAAGGCAGGGGGAGAGGGAGAAGCAGGCTCCCTGTGTGGGGCTCGATCCCAGGACCCTGGGATCATGACCTGAGCCAAAGGCAGATGCTTAACCGGCTGAGCCACCCAGGCACCCTTCCCACCCCCTTTTGAGAGTTTTCATATGTACTCTTCAATGTAATCAAAAAATCTTTACTGGTTTATGTTCTCTAGAATCTGAAATGTGATCGGGTTTATTTTGTAAATAATGGGAGTGGTGGCATAATCACTTCCTCCCTATTATTATTCTCAACCCTGTTTTATAATGGAAGCACGTTAACAAATTTATTTTGTGCTATTAGCCAGGCATAGTGTTAAGATATGAGATAAGATTATCTCATTCAACCTTCATAACTAGCCCATGAAGTAAGTACTATTATTAACTCCATTTTGTAGGGAAGGAAATTGAAACTTGAAGAGGTCAAGTAACTTGCCCAAGATCACGTCTGTGGTAAGCATTAGAAGCAGAATTTGAAGCCAGGCAGTCTGATTCCAGGACTCACAGTTGTGATGAGTGCACCATACTACCTGAGCTGTACATGGTAAAATGCAGTAAACACTCATTACAATCGGTCCATTTTAAATTGTTCTTGACTTCAGGTAAATGGCAATTTATAATACTGAATCAATCAAGTTGTCAGTTTTGTTGCCTTTTTTTTTTAATTAAGGATACTTTGGGACCTGTAAAAGTGTTAATAGTTACTCTCATATGCTGCCTAATTGTGGAGTATTTTAAACTTTAAGGATGTTGAGGAAACTAATTATCCACATAACTGTCCTCCTTTGTAATTAAATAAAATATTATTAGGAAATACAATGCTGGATGAAAATTAAGTGACAATTACACAGATGTTGTTTTTGCCCTAAAATACTGTAATATAAATGTTTTTATATTTGGCAGTTTTCATTAGTATATGATTTTTCCAGTGGAAAGAGTCTTCCTGTGGAAAGAAATCCTCAAAAGTGCTACCTAAAGACTAAAGTGTTTGTTTAGGAAAAAAAAACAACTACTTTTCTCCTTTTAGACTCCAGAAACAGTTTCCTCCTAAAGCTGACTTCCTTTCTGGAAATTATTTTTGTTTCCAACCATATTGAGAATCCATTTTTTTTCATTCCTTCTCTCTCTCTTATTCTTTCTCTTTCTCCCTCCCTTCCTCCCTCCTTTTTCTTTTCTGGTAATAGCAGAGAGGAAGGAGGGGGTGGGCACAGGAAAGAGGGAAAAGAGAAAACAGAAAAAGAATTGCATGCCACTATGCCTGAATATATCCTTTACTTGTAGATAATTCCATCCGAATTGCACTTTTGCCTTTTATTTCCGTTTTTGGACACCTCTTTTATCATCCAGCCAACTGGGACAGACAAAGCACTGTTGGTGCCCTGAGCGACAGAACTCTGGTAGGGGGCTGGCTGTAAATTGACGTGGCATGGAAATTCTCCGCTAAGTTGTAGCAGCTTGCATGTTTCTCCTAAGATCAAGCCCAGCCTCCTAGAACTGTAGCTTAATCATCATGGGTCCAACGACTTTACAGAAAAATGGATAGAAAAAGTCTTCAGCTCCTTTCTTTGGACTCAAATGTTTTCTTTTTGACTATCCATGGTTTAGCTGAAAAAATCAAAGCAGTTAAGTCTGTAACTTTCTTTTTGCAGCTTAAACAACAGAATTTGCTGCTCTCCCTCCCCTATCCTGCAATTTAATTCCTTACAGATTTTGCTATGGGGTGCGGACTTAGAAAGCTAGAAGACCCTGATGATAGCAGTCCTGGAAAAATATTTTCTACCCTGAAGAGACCGCAAGTGGAAACAAAGACAGAATTTGCTTACGAGTATGTATTGCTGGATTTTACTTTACAAGGTAATTTTTGCTTCTATTTTATTTGTTAAATGAAATCTTTCAAAGAGAAGGCACTAGTTTTTTTAAGTTGCTTGTGAATTTTTAAACTATTCTTCACAATCAGATTGTATAAATCTAACAATAATGCTTTGTTTCTTAATTATATTTTGAAAGATTTTTGTTTTGTTTGCCTCATTTTTTGTAATATGGCTCATGTGCACTTTGTAAAATTAGAAAAACTGCTTGGAATTATTTCTTTCATTTTTAAATCAAATGCTTATTTGTAGGATATATAAAAATGTTTGATTTCCCAGCCAAATAGCTATAGCCTTAATGACAGTTTGGGTCTTGAAAAAGATCTGGAAGTCACAAGAAGGTAGCATGTAGGATATATGATTTGCATCATGTGGCAGAATATTTGCTAAGATAATTCTGAGGTTTCCAACTATGTAAAATTTTGTGATTGTGCTAGTCACTTTATATTTTTGGCCAAGCTAACCTTGAAGTTTGAAAATACAGTAAAAAAAGAAAAAAAAAAAAGATAGTCTTCTGTAAGACACTTCCTTTGCTTGGTGCCCCGTCCCTAACAGAGAAACTCCCTGTTCCAGAAAGTTGGAAATACAAATAAACAAGCCCAGATGGCAGCCCTGCGGAAGGAACAGAGGCAGCTCAAACTCACAAATACTTTGCCTAACTTCTTTTGGAAACCTTAGAGTATACAACTGCATGGATAAAACTGAGTTTTTAAAAAGCAGAACAGTATCTTTAATTATGGGGTACTGAAAATGAAATTTAGAATGTCTTGCTTGCTGTTAGAATTTCCAGATATCAGTATTTTAAGCTCTTATTACAAAGTTACACTTTTCATTCTAATAAGGTACACATTTTATCAGTTAATAGAAAGTTTATACTGAAAAAATTATCATGTTGGATATTAATTTCTTTTCAACTTAAAAACAAATTCTCCATTTTTTTGGTTTGTTCTGTGAACAGGGCATCTCTGTGCTAGAAACAAGAGCAGCCCATTTTTCTTTGTCAAAAATTGAGCTAGCCAGCAAGCAAAGTCTCTTCCAGGGACATACACAAAATCTGTACATATACTTTCAACATATTCACATTTCTACTTTTATTTAAGGCTAAGGCTACCAAAGGAAAAAATGTCAATATTCCTAATTTTATTTTTAATTATGAAAGTTAAAAGTGGATTAAGATAATAGTGATAATCAGAGAACTAACCAATCATGCGAATTTTTTCTATACTTTTTCAAAAACCATCATTTGAGAAATATTTGTGATGTGGTGCCATGTTTTCTCCATTCATTGTTCTTATCAATTATTTTTAGGGCAAGTTTCTGTAAATCCATAGGACACAAACACTTTTCTTAACCTTAAAACCTTGTCTACTCATAAACTTTAGGCCAGAGTCATTTTGATCTGCACTTTAAGAATTGCTACACAATCCACCATAGGACCATAGGGCTTAAAGTAACTTGACATTTTTTTTCTGATTTATTTCCTTCCAACCATGTTAATCTCAAACGAATATGTATAAATGCAGTCATGCTTGAATTAGAAACATCTACAGCTTTCTTCAGCAGTCATTTTGGTTTTGTTATATTATCAAAAGCCCTTCTCTCTGTGAAAGGAATATAATCTCTACCTCCACTCTAGGTGTTTGGAGGAGGTAACAGAGTGTTACACTATGAAGTGTTAAGTATGGGCATGGATAACAAATGTTAGCACAGACAGCAGGCACATACTTTAAAGTTGCATCTGGTTCCTATTTGGTTGAGGCGCCTAGTCTCCTGGTGCCCCTTTCTGTCCAATTCTTCCACATTTTTTTGTTGTGTTGTGTTTTGTTTTTGTCTTTGCCTTTGCCTCAGAAGCCAAAACTCTGTATTTCCCAAACTGCACAAACCACCTTTCTTTATTCTGTTCTCTGACTTCCACCTGCCACTCCAGTGTATAGAGGAATGAGTCAAGGGGGGTTGGGGAGTGGGGTAGAACATGCCAGCCTTCTATCTAGCACTGGCAATTCTGTCCTGGGATTGCTGTAAGTACTGAATAGTGGCACCTCCTGCTTCTCAGAGGCCACTGTGAGCAACCTTTCAGGAAACAGAATGGTCTGGTGACAGCTGTGTGTGCTCATGGTCAGCCTGTCTCTTACCTTGTTTTCCTCCGTTTTTTCCAAACAGAGGACATGAGACAGAGAGTAAAGTCTCAGTGGGGCAAGAGGAGGAGGCCCTTTGAGATTTCCAGTGCCCTGAGTTAGGATGGCTAATTACCATGAACAATTTATTTATTTTCCATTCAGTTCCATTCTCTATTTCTCTCCCTCTCTCTCCCACTTTCTCTCTCTCTCTCTGCTTCCCCACACTTTTTTTGCAGGGGTGGGCAGGGGGACTTTGAGCCATTATTTACATCTCCGTGGGAGAAATAATAGCATAGTCATTAAGCACATAAGACTCTGGAATCAAAGTTCCTTGATTCTGAATCTAGGCTCTTTCACTCTCTGTGGCAGGTTTATAAATGTTGCTATATCTCAGTTTCCCCTTCTGAAAAAGAAGGGTTCTGATGTTGCCTACATAATAGAGTTGTTTTGAGGATTAAAGAGGATAATACAAGATAATCCACTTAATAAAAGTTAACTATTATTATCCGTCCTGGCTTTATGCCAGATCTACCAACTGCACTAGTGAGATTTTGGTACAATTTTTGTGATAAGTTTTCTGGATTATTGTATAGCAATCTATGAATGTGTATTTATGAGAGTGTGTGAGTGTATACATGAGCGTGTTACAGAATTTCTTAATGAATAGTTAAATTAACTCTGCAAATGATCCAAAAGTGTTAGTTTCATCCTTAAAGCCCAGAAAAGAATTTGAATAACAATAGCCTTAAAGATTTTTAAAGCACATACAGCTTTAAGATTAAAAGAGTTTTCACAATACTAAAAACCCAACAGAAGGACAGATGGTAGCTTTGAATTTCTAGTAAAATTATGTAAAATATATTAAGTAAAATTTTGCTGGCCTCTAACTTGCTTCCTTATTATTAAAACAAATTCTCCGTGTTTTTTTATCACCCTGTTAACAGCAATCAATACATATGACATATGTATTCTGTAGAAGATGCTGATAAGTACTGGAAATACAAAGAGGAATAAGACAGTTTCTGCCCTCAAGTATTTTATATTCTAAGTGGTCAAACTGGACAAGATCATGAACTCCTCAAGGTCGGGAACTATATCTTATCCACCTTTGTATTCCCTGTGTCTAGCACAGTGCTTGGCACATGAACAATGGCCAATAAGTTTTGTTGAATTAATGAATAAAAAATTACAATACAAGATACGAGAGGTGTCAGAAAAAGGAAAATCAGTTTTGAATAGGATCAGTTGGAACTGGAACTAGGACTTTAACTGACCCTGAAGAACAAATAGGGCTTATTAGTCAGAAAAAGATTAAGCGGTTGAGGTATATTCAAGGACTACTGACTAGAGCAGTGAGCTAAGGGGGGTTTTGTTGGAGAGAGGGAGAAAATGAGGTTGGAAATAAATGGAGTATGAAATGCTATGACCTGGCTAAGGAAGGATTCCTTGATTCTATGGGAATTAAGTAGCTGTAAAGGCTTTTGAATGAGTAGTCAATAGGTACAGAGAAGTATTTTTAGAAGATTAATGTGAGATTGAGTGGGAAGAGATGGAAGTGAGGACATTTATTTAGAAGGCCTCTTGTAGTGGTCAAGGCTACAAGTGGACAATTAGGACATGCATGTAGGGGGCAGCAAAAGGATGGAATGCAAGGGGCAAATACAACAGACATTATGAAGAAGGAAATTACTAGCTTGTGGCTGACTGGATATGAAGGGACAGAAAGAATGCAGAATCCAGGATGACTTCCTGCTTCTGAGTAAGTGTATAACTGAGCCTGAGTAACTGTGGAAATAATGATACCTCTTACAGTAGGAAGGGCATCCCAAAGACAGTCAATGTGTGGTGAAAAAGCAGTTCCATCACAGGCATGTTGCCTTTGAGGTGGCAGTGGACATCTTACAGATACATAAGGGACTGCTTCTATAAGAGATTCTTACAGATACATAGCTGGAGATGGTGATTTCCAGGAGGAATTGAAATAGGTAAAGTCTTAAAGAGAAGGAATGTGGGGAAAGCATAAGCATCTTGGGCTGAGTTGTCAGGCATATTTAGCCATATTGAGGACAATTCAACAAAAATGACAGAGAATGAAGATAGGACTGTATAGCACCAGAGAACACAAGGAAAGGGAAGCCTTCAAAAAGCAAGAAATGGTCAGTAATTTCAAATGTTAGAGAACCTTTAAGAATGAAGATGCAGCACTGAAGAGACTGCATTAAAGAATCAACAAGCTGTGAATAAAGGATCAGAAATGAGGGAAGGAAGAGGAGGGGGGAAGGAAGTGTGGGTCCATCTAAATTTTCTGTATCTGTCTGAGTCTAATAATTTCATGAACATTTTCTCAAACAGTCAAAAGTGACTGAATTTACTCAGGCATCTATGTAATCCCTGTTGTAGTACCTAGCCCAAATTCCTACCAGGTGATAAAACCTATATGGGAAGTTCTATTATGTTTGAAACGGTGAGATATTTGGTTTAGAAGAATAATAAAACCTCACAAATCCAGACTCTTGTGGAAGAGAAGGATCCCAATCTGAACTAGGAGAGAAGAGAATCTCTGATAATTGCATACAGTTGATCCACTTAAATACTGTTGTTGAGAGAAAATACATACACGTTTATATTGACAATGTAATTTATATTTTCTATCTTACATATACTTCTTATATCTGGGTGGACATTTACTCATCCACTGAACTAATATTTATTGAGTACCAAGTGAGCTAAGAGCTAGGATACAAATATAAATAAAGCCTAGTCCCTGCTCTTTATGAACCGGCACCCTAGTTGAGCATTCTCCTGAGGGACATTCAGTTACAATGTGTACACTATGATACAGGCTATGCTAGAAGTGTGAGGGTGATAG